AAGAAAACTTGGCGTCCTCAGCCCTAGTTTTTCTTGGTATCTTTCAGATCAATACTGTTTTTATTCTGTAAACAATAATTTGTAGAGTCTACGAAAATAAGTAAATATTAACGGAACTCGTAACGAAAAGTAGTTACTTTAAAGGAAATGCAGATATCGAGCAGGTGTATTTCCCAAGGTCCTTCTCAACATTTTCCTCAGCTTGCTTTGGAAAAACATTTGTTTCGTCAGGGCACTAATTTCCAGACGGATGGCGACTTAAGTGAGAGCTCGTGTTACCTACGCATACAGGAGAAAAGCTATAATTATTGCCATAAAGCAGCAAAAAAAGAGAGCATTCACCCTTGCTGACTTTTCTTTCCTCAGAAAACCTTGTCGTATCACAAAAGAAACAGAGATAAAAAAGGAAAGATGGAGCCGAACATACATTCCGAAAAAAATATCACCTGCGATCCGCAAGGGAATTTGTCGACTGCAATATTCTTAACACTCATTATAACTACTGCGCTATCCGCCACAGTGGGGAACATACTCATCTGTATGGCTGTATATAAAACCAAGACTCTAAGAACACCCGCCAACTATCTACTTGTCAGCCTCTCTGTAGCAAGCCTTTTGTTTGTTCCCGTGTTGGGGGGTTACTCGTTCTCTCTCACCATCAAAGAATGCGATCCGAGGGCTAAAACCCTGTGCACGTGGTCTTCGAAAATGGATTGGATTTTATTTTGTGTTGTTATGCTTCACTTGATGTTTATATCGTTGGATCGACTGTTGGCCATAAAACTACCAATGAGGTACGTAGTGAAACCGGTATCTTGAACCTCGTTTAAACTTGAGTTTATTAATACACTGAATTGTGTAGTTTTATTTTCCATTTAAGAGTTGTACTGAAAAGGAATTCTGTGGTAAGTAGTGATTGACGTTTCGAAAACCTCAGCGGAAGTCGCAGCTGACAGCAGCAGTCCTTCTCACGACTACTCTCACTGGGACGACCAGACTACACAATTTTAAATGTTACCCCCAAGTTCAAACCATTTATTGTATTCTATAGATTAACCTTAACGGACAACCTCTTTTAAAACAAAGTATGTTTCACTTCTCTCATCGTTCTTGCTCCGTCTCTCAACAGATACCCAGTGTTGGTGACCACAAAACGCACGTTCATAACAATAACTGTCCTGTGGATGGTTAGCATCGTGGAAGGCTTTTTGCCAGAAATTATTAAGGAAATTAAAGGAAAAGACGCCCGCGCTCTTCTGGAGCTGATATATGGTTGTCTTCGAAATAACCTTATCCCAGAAGAAAGTGACTTACAACCCATAATCCCTCACTTCCTAATTCTTATAACAGTTGATGTCTTACTGCCCAGCGGTATCATGCTGATTTCACATGTGTGGATTTTCATAATCTCCTTTAAACAATACAGACAGATAAGAACACTGGAGGACGCTTTCTCGCAGAGGCGTGTCACTGAAATGCGCGCCGCCAAGACGGTAGCTGTCATCGTGTTTTCAGCATTGGCTTGTTTCGCACCTGTGCTCGCTGTGACTCTCATCTCAGCATTTGAGCCGCCCAGCGGTAACTTACTGAACGCAAGTGAAGCGATTGTGAAGTACAGGCTCTTTCCGAGCCTTAAAACTCTGTACTTATTAGTAATAAGCTTCCACCCTTTGATTTACGCATTGAAAAGTGAGCCTTTCAAGGTGGCATTCAAGAGGATGCTTCGGCCTTGCTGGGCAAACTGCCGTCCAAAGCCCCCTCGGAACGTTCACAATGGAGAGCTTATAGTTAGAAATTAGCTCACAGTCTTCCACAACAAAAAGACTGAGTAGAAGTTGTTATGCTATTAAAGCATGAGTCAAAGTGAACCTAGCCCAGTTGAACTTGGACAATCCAATATAAGCCCTTATAACTAATTGGGCCAAAACATTATACAGCTAGCACTAAAAAGGAATTGTATCTTGTTAATGTTGTGAAAAGAAAAGTTTAGATGTGTAGGTTGTGTGCCATTGTACCTTGGTGTCAAAACGGACATCTGGTACCATTTTTAGACCATCTTTCCCCCTAATAGTGAACTTTGACTACCTTTATAGGTAAAATAAAAGTCCTCTGGTAAAATTGCTGTCAAAAATTAGCTGCGTGCTTGGCTTTTGCTTGACCTTAAAGGATGTGTTTTTCATAATCCTCATAGTACTGCACTGAATGCAAACCATGGCAACATATATTTAATTCTTTTCATTCCACATATCTTGGATACTATTTTGCAAAAATGGTCAGCACTACTTTACATAGTTGAAACACAATTCAGTTTGAAGAAGAATATTTACATTGTTCTGCCACTTGAAAATGCTCATATAAACATTGTCTCAGTGTCTCTTTGCACCCAAATACAGCTATGCATATTAAAGAAAATCTGTCCACAAAATTAATCATCACAATGAGAATCTAAAACACCTGTATGTATGTATGTTACCAAAAATAGTTTAGAAGATCCCGGGAATCTAAAATAATCTGTAAGAATGTTCCCGTATAAGCATGTGTGAGCATTTTGAAGAATTCCTTACACTAGGTAAATCTTGCCAATAGGACTAAGACCAATCTGTAGCTACTTTGGGAACTAATAAAATTGGCGTAATTTGAAATGCAACCAAACATTTATTCTACACCACCCATGACTTCAGTTATACGCATATTGAATCTTTCCATCTGTGGGGTGATGTAAATACCGCTAAATGGAGCTTGCAAATGGTGCCTAAGGGGTAAGCTGGTCACCTGCCATCACTTTCCCAGCCAACTACTTGCAGATTCCTTAGTAACCCTGATTCATAGAGCATAGTGGCATCATTCCTTCGCCCCTCATATGGTTCATTTAGGTTAGCTAAAAGACCATTAGGAAGAACAACGTTCTAGAACTTTAACGAATGTACACGCATGCTGCTTCAACCCAATCATTCAGGTCAAATTTGTCACACTTCCAAGACAAGGATATTTCTCTTGTATGGTTTTCTTCGTAAAGAGCCACTAATTCCACGTCATTTATTACATCGTCGAAATTAGCAAGCAAAACGTCTCGGGCACTTTGCAGGCTTTAAGCTGCCGCCATCATTACAAGCTAACCTCCAGTAAATGACGTGACGAAGGTTCCAGTACTCTGGTCTTCGATATCGGTCAAGCAACCACTTTGTCCTGTCTTTTGTCTTTATGCTAAATCAGTCTAATCACTACGGTGGGTAGGAACTGCTTTGTTGCGTGACAAATGTAGTGTTCATGACAATAACGCAGAATTGAAGAAATTACTTTGAAGCCTTCACGGCCTCCACTAAGGTAAAAGAATTCGATAAGTCAAACATATTTATTTCGTCTAACTTTTATGAATTATCATGCATGTCTGGCGAGTCGACATTTTTCACTCGCTTTGAATAAGGGCTGTTGCTCAAAATGTCAACTTCATAATCTCTTTACGGTGGTCAATTTACATTATCAATGCTTAGTTACTACTCTCTTTATTATCGCTCTGGTTCATTTTCATCCAGGCAGTGTGCGCACTCCGATTGCGTTGCATTGCGGTAGCTTTATTTTCAATGAGGCGGTGAAAGCAGCAGAAATTGGCAAATTTTGACTGAACATTCCGTAAAAGCTAGACCATTCCTTTTTTTCTCTCACCATAGGTAAATGTAATTTGATTTGTTCTGAATGTGTAAAAGTATTTTTTGTACGTATTTGTCGCGTATTCTATGGTTCTCAAGGGCAAACGCAATCACTGTTTTTTAGTATGTAATTTGAGACCGGTTTTCGAGAAGGTCAAACGCTCTCCAACAGTACATGTGTCTCCCATTTAAAGTGCAAGTGTTTGAGACCGACTATGGCCGAGGAAAGGCCTATTGTTGCGTTACACAGCGCTACTATTGTATATCCAATTGTGTTGTAAATCTACTCTCGTAAGTAAAAGGAAATTAACTAATGAATGTTGAATGGTAAATCTACCATGCGACACGCCGGGTAAACCAAGCGAAAGGCAGTCGATTGTTAAAAGGTGTTGATGGGCTTGGCTACTCCTGCCATTTGCTTGTGCTTTTAAATCTTCTGACCTGAAAGCTTAGCTTTTATGAGGATATCATTTAATGACTTTCGTTTGCGATGTGGTAATAGGGGTTATTTTTAAGGTGTCATTTCCCCATCTGTATGTTCTTGAGGTTTGGCAAAGCCAGATAACATTGTGTTACAAAAGGTAATATTTTCATGTGTGCGCGCTATTTTTTTTTGTTTTCTAGTATACAGTCTCTTCTGCCGAAAATAACTTCAGAGATACGTTTCTCAAAACCTTACTCCAGGTATTCTCTATTCTTTAAGCATATTTGAAACTCTGTACGTGTTTTATTAAACGTTGAGCGTAACGAATTTGGTCCCAGGAGACGTAAGGCTTCTTTCTCGAATCTAGTATTTACGCCCTAAGTCTATGACATGAAAATAGTTCGTGTTCTAGAAGGTCGCTGTCTCTTTGTAATGCGTTTTCATGTCAAGTTCGATTCCCCGTTTTGATATTATTCACAAAGCAATAGGCTGTGAGTATAACTGCTGCCAAATGAATAGATTCTTGGCCAAGGCTGCAGTTTCGATTCTTTCTGAATCTCTTCAGCTGCCTCCAAACAACGAATTTGTCACGGAGGAATGAGAGGAGTTGCGCAGGGCCGCAAACACTTTTTAACTTTCGAAGGAACGGCAACAGTTGAATGGGTTCAAATCCCGTACAGGCCTGAATTTTTTTTCAGGCCTTATTTTCACTACTGCCTAAGTAGTGCACATCACTGCGAAGATCACTTTCATTCATGTCTTTATCCGCAGTTCAAATATATGACCCTCATATATTCTTAACCGTCAATAAGTCTTTCGTTAGTTAATGATTATTACACAATACCTTTGTAGTCTCCGATCAATTCCCCTTTAAGTACACGTGTAAAGATTCTATTTCAATCATCGCTACTAAATCATCGCGGCTAAATCATCGGTGCTAGATAATCGCTACAAGTTATTTGCTATCGTCAGGAGCTAGACCAAAGTAAGTCTTTATCTCTTTTACATTTACGATGTTTACCTTTTGTCTGTATTACTGGTGTGGTTCTTGTATTCAGTTTTCTAGTTAGGTTAATTTTAGATTTCGCATCGCATTTTTCTTAGTTTGGTTTCTGTTGTATTTTCTTTTAGTTCGAACCGCACAACCTCAATCGCTACTTCGATCAAGCACAAATACATCTTGGCGCTATCTTCTAAAATTATTAAAGATCACTTGACATTCTCTGTGCCTTCGAATTGTGATCGAATTGTCTGTTCAGCCACTTAGGTAACCCTTTGAGGTTACAGAATTTAATGGAGATTTACTGTCAGTTGTCGTTCCTTCAAAGGTTAAAAAGTGTTGACGGCATGACGAGCTTTGCTTAAGAAAAAAATACTCTCCAGAGTAGCGTAAAATGATCCGTAGGCTTGTCAATGTAAAGCGAAAGGCTTCAAACATGAAATTGATTAAAGTTGACAATTAAAATGAAAACAGGCGCGAGGATCTGTGCAGCTTGTGCGTTAGCGAGTGCTACGAAAATTTGGGACTCTTTCGAACGATTATCTCTGGAAATAACTTCGCACTCAGAGCATGAATGGCAATTTTCACGATTGCAGAATGATTCAGCGACAAGAACCTCTTAGCTTAGCTCAAACGTATCATGACATTTGAGGACAGCTTGTTTATACTGCGTGACGTGACTATCATGTAACAGTTGATGTACCCGGCATGTTCTATGTCTTCTATCCGTGGTTTGTGACACAAAGCCTAGCGATTATCTGTTCTGCCACGATAACGCCTAAGTTAAATTGTGACAGTTAAGTAATATTCTGTTCTGATCGGACCTTTGACTCTAAGTCAGCATGGAGAGATTTCGACTGTATTATGTCCTGGAGATACAGGAGTATCATTTTACGCTTGAAACGATTGGGTAGAGCGAAGGGCTAACGAAGGGCTAGCGCTCGAAACGTCAGCCTTTTAACTCTTAACGGTGGCCAATTTAAGTTTTTAACTCAGTTGTTAACACTAAATTACCTGTTATTTTTTTGTCTGGGTGGGTTGAGATTGGACATTTTGTGTACCTAATGTTTCATTTTGTAACAGAAAAAGGGCATAACTTTCAAAAGAACAAAAATATCGCATTACTTCACTTTAAGAGAAAGAAAAGAAAACTGATTTGTCTGAACTCGCACAGGTATTTTGAGTCCTATTATGGTTACCATCATTCTGGACCTTTCTGTGACTTTTTGGAAGCTCTCAAGTAAACTCATGACGTGAAACTTAGTACATCTCAAGATCTGTTAGGGTTTTACCTTTATAAACAAGTGTTGATAAAATGAACGATATTGCCTAATCATATACCACATTTACATAAAAAAAAGATGTCAAGTCTTCAAGAACATACCGACTCAAATTTCTTTAATCAGAAACCATATGTCCTTTTGCGTGAAACTTCGGGAGCAGGTTCGCATGTCAGCAAATGAAAAATTTTTGTCAGAAATAAAACGATAAGAGGAGTCGTACATTTAATGATTATTTACCGAAGTTTAATTGACACTGAAAACTCCGTTTGAAGCAATCTTATTCTGAATGGAACTCATGGGCTAACGAGAGGGAAATTGTTTTCCATATTGTTCTCCGGCGGGTTCTTTGAGGTAACCACCCACTTAAAATCTTCTTGAATACACTAATAAATGAATAAATAAATATCTTTAGCCGGGGGCAACCTCACCCTTTGGTGGTTTTCAGGCTGGTCTTGGGTAGAAATTATAAATATGCAGTAGCTTAAAATTTGTTAAAAGTTAAAAGAGCATTAAATAACAATAAAGTCCTAAGAGAGAGTTTATAAAATATTAAAATAAATAAATTAGTTTATATGAGCTTCTTAAAAAAAATCAAGGCTATTTGAGTTCCTTGTAGATATTGGAAGAGCATTCCATTCATGTATCGCTTGATAAGTTAGTCTTTGTTGCCCCCTCTGGCACCGAGATTTGGGCATTTTAAAATTGTCTTTGTGCCTAGTGTTATAAGGGTGGGTATACCCTTAAGAGCATTAAATTAAATTCTCAGTCAATCAGCCCAATCATGCATTTGAATACTAAAGAAAGACGGTGTTGCCGTCGCCTTTCTGATAAGACTAGCCAATCAAGTTCATTAATTGCCTCTGTTGTGGAGGAATGTTTAGCTTTATCAAGTATTGATTTAGCAGCTTTGTTTTGCAAGAACTGGACTTGAGCCATTAGAGTTTTGTTGTGTTTGTCTCCCCACACAATATCACTATAATCCAAGAGAGGCAAGATCGTTGATTTTATGCAAAGTTGTCTGGTGTGTATTGGCAATAAATGTTTGATCCTTCTGAGAATGCCAAGTCTTTGATTTACTTTGGTTGAAATGTAATCAACATGATCACTCCAAGTTAGGGTTTCATTTATAATAACTCCCAAGTATTTGTAACAATCTGCCTTGTCAAGGAACTCGTCACAGATTTGTAGGCTTATTTTCCCGAGGGACTTCAGCCTTTGTGAGCTCCCAATTACCATAAACTTAGACTTGGCTACATTCAGTGTAAGTTAATGGTCATTAAGCCATTCTGCTACACTAGCAAGGTCCTCATTCAGTATTTGTTGCAACTCTGTAGAACGGTATAAGGCAGTATCATCTGCAAATAGCGTAACAGATGTGTGCTTTAGGCATGTAGGCAAGTCATTGATATAAATAGAGAAAAGGAGCGGACCAAGAATAGATCCTTGTGGTACTCCAACAGAGATACGTCTGTTACAGAACGTTGCTTGACCAATAACTGTTCTTTGAAAACGAGATGTCAAATAGGATTGAAACCAGGCAAGGCAAACC